GCTAGGGATATTGTTGTATGTAATATGACTGTAACAATTCATATGGATACGTATGAATAAGGGAGGATGTTCTATAGGCTCATAAGTTTACTATATATATATATATATATATATATATATATATATATATATATATATATATATATATATATATATATAAAAGCATGTAGGGACGTACCGTATATGGCGCAGCTATGGAAGGTTTAAGATTAAGCAAGGTGATTAGGGTTAAGGTGTAATAATAATAATAATAATAATAATAATAATAATAATAATAATAATAATAATAATAATAATAATAATAATAATAATAATAATAATAATTTTGGTGTAGCATATGAATGTAAATGGGGATTTACTGCATACTTTTAGGAATGTATATATGTATATATATATATATATATATATATATATATATATATATATATATATATATAATAGAAGTTTTAGGGGAATATATTTAGAATAGTAGTGGTATACCTATTTATGTATAAATGTTTGTGTAGGGGGTCCTTATTTTAGTGGTAAAAGGGTTTTAAACAAGGTATTGAAAGCTTGTGGTCTATTATGCAACATGGACCAAAGTCTAGAGGGATAGTTTTAAGATAGTTTGGGGACGAAATATATTTTTCCAAGGATAATTTCTAGGTGACCACTTGTTTTAGGTTTCTACCGGTCTCACTCATATTGACTTTCGGGTCGAAACTTAATACGCAATGGTATCCGAGGTTTTAGTTTTCTAGAAATAGAATTGGTCCCTATAATTTCTATGTAACATATAAACAAATTAATTAGGAAGGTTCATGTTCAAGCATTAGATTGTTATCTATATGTTAAACACATAGGAAGTATCAAGGGAGACACACAAAGGCATAATGGATCAATAAAAACGAGAAGTTGTGAAAACATACCGGACCAGTGGGCGCGAGGTGGGCGGTCGACCGCCTGTCAAGTCCCCACTGGGATGTGGCAGTGGGCACGTGGTGGGTGGTCGACCTCCTGTCAAGGCCCCACTGGAACGTGACTGTGAAGGAAGAATCACTTCGGGAAAAGCCCCGAGAATGCACAATTTTAAGTTCAAGGAATTCCATACTTATGTGAACAACGAAAGGGGTTTGAATACATGAAAAAACTCAAGGGATCACGTTATTAATAAGGAATATGGGAGGCTTCAATTAAATATCATAAGGATCCCGCGCCCCATTCTTTCCCTTCTTAATTAAAGCTATGTTCCCCAAAATTTCCCTATGTAAGTACTTATCGGGCTATTTAGTGAGTTAACTATATTGGTCAATTATGATTAGGACAAGTGAGCCCTTATAAGTTGAATAAAATTACTAATTGCAAGTTCCAAAATACTTTATCAAGTAACAGATATCCGAATAACGCATGTCTGATCAAATAGTTAAGCAATAATATGCAGTTCCTAACATGGTCTAAAATCAATTAGGAACATATATGCTTAAGCAAATAAACAAGTATGATAATCAAAGAGTGATAAGCAACAAAGCAGGTAAAAACATGCAAGGACATAACAAATTCCTAGGGCCAGTATGTGCAATGAAGAGTCAGTGTGTTGTACCCTTACCTTGATGTGATAAGCGAAGGGGGGAATTCTTTAAATTAATGTGGGGTAAAGTGAAGGGCGGTTATGTGATGATAGGTAGGTTCAAAATCTCACCGCGCGTCCTAAGATTCCTGAATCCTATGTTCCTAAATACCTAGAGTTCAAGCCTAATGTCCTAAAGTTTGGTCTTAAGAGTTTAAGCCTATGTTCCTATGTTCCTGATACCAACTGTAACACCCAAAATTTTTCAATTTTTAAAACTCATATAATAAAGGTAGCTTCTCATTAAATCCCAAAACATAATATAAAAGAGTACGGGGTGCTATGCCACACCTGAGTTAGGGAACTCAGGTGCACAGGCTAACTAACTAATATCCTCAATAATGTGAATACATAAGTATGGCACGCAGGCCGAAAGGGAAACTATCTACTTTACGCTCCAAGTCTCTAGCGCGCTCCAGTGTCTACTCCTCTGTGCCTGAAAGCCAAATATATATGTTCAGCGAGAGATGCTGGTAACCCACTCCAACACGTTTAAACACAGTATATATATATATATATATATATATATATATATATATATATATATATATATATATATATATATATATATATATATATATATACAAAATCATTTCGAAGCAGGAAGATATATACTTAAGAGACACTAGTTTTAAAACCAGGAATAGACTCAGCAAATAGGGATAAGCACATCAGACAATAATAATAACATCATAAGGAATACGCATTTATGGTCATAAGCCACTTCTCAATTCCAATCCACATTATCATCCAATCATCATTCATATCACATAATCATCGATGGCGCCACGGGACCAATCGCATGCCCCGAACATGAGGGTTAATGCCTATAGCATTAACACGGCCCCGCAGCACCCTACCTCAGTACCGCAGTACGAGGGGAGTTGATCGCAACCAACCCTTTGAGAACCGCTGACGAACTCAACGTCGGACCACGATCCGACACACCACTGACGCGCCCAGTCGGTAGACCGCGATCCCCTTTACAAGGGGGGACTTACGACCCTAAACACCGTTGGTGCACACAATCGGAGGGCCGTAGCGGATCAAGCCCGACACACCGCTGAGCTAAACTTAGTCGGTGGGCAAAGATCCTCGGAGACTACCGTCCTACATACCGATGTCCCACCACTCGGTGGGTCGCAGCCAGTCGTAGCCCTACACACCGCCTGATTACTCAGGTCGGTGAACTACAACCTTCCTCGGCTTGTTGGCCCCATACCGCCTGGCGCATCCCGGTCGGTGGGTCATATCACCGAGGCCCATGTGGACCTTCAGTCCTATACATAATCTTTATATACCTGACCGGTCTCTACCAGCCAGGTTAACAGTTGGGATGGTTCTCAACCCATTCAACTGCCCGTATAGTGGACCTCAGTCCTATATCACATCAATATCCCTGACCGATCTTAACCGGCCTGGTTAACATTTGGGATGGTTCTCAGCCCATTCAACTGCCCGTATAGCCCAATTGGTCTTAACCAAGTTGGGGTCATGCATCACGTAACACATAATAGCACATAATTCACATAGGGAAGGGGGAGACATATAATTAAGCATACATGTGATCATTCACACACTAAGAATAGTTCCTAAGGGCTCATATAACTTCCACCTAGGTCCACGGGTTACCAATTCAACTAGCATGCAATTCCTAAGACTCGTTTAACCTACGAATGGTACCCGAAATTCCAAACTAGACTCAGGCACGACAAACGGGGTCCGTTGGGACACCATGGGGGACGGGGAACATCAAACGGGGAAGCCAGGGACCCGGGGTGGGGTGTGGACTAGCGGGTAGCCGGTGGGTGGGGGTCACCCGCCGGCTGCCCGTCGGTGGGCGCTGTTCCGGGCAGTGGGTAGCCGGCTGCCCGGTGGCTGCCCGCTGCCGGGAAGCGCCTCTTTGGGTAGCGGGTAGGTGGTGGGTTCCCCCACCCCCACCTACCCCCCACTGACTCATTTATCACAAATTCATCCCGGGATCCTTCGTGGAACCCGAAACCATGCTTGGACACTTTTAAACGCAAATAACGACATCACATAAGCAATTAACGGATCAAAAGCAGGAATCATGTAGGACTTATCCTATTACAGCTTCTAAGTATAAACAATACCCGATCATGCGAATTCCCACCCAAATATAAATCAAGAACATCCTCAATACGAATTCCCAATCCAACCTAGGGCTCTAATCCCACCCAAATCATCAAGAACATATTTTATTCTTAACATCAAGAAAATATCAAGATTCGTCAAGAATCATCATATCATAATCAAGAACTTCTTTTTAACATCAAGGTCATCAAGATTCTCAAGAAAGCATATAAGTCATCTTATCAATCATCAAGAACATAACATAATTATCATACAAGAATTCAATCAAGACAAGAATATAGAGGGAGACCAAGGAAAGATATTATAGCGAAGAAAATAGGTTTTGTTGAGACATGGGTTACCTCTTAGCCTTAATTAATCATTCCTTGGCTATTAAGGTTCTTCCCTAAGATTTCCATCCGTTTTGATCTCCTTAGGCTTAGTGGTGGGGAGTCCCTTGGGAATTCTTGTGTGGTGATATCTATTGTGGTGTGACTTCTAGGTGCCTCCTATGTCCAATAAGGAATAGAATTAGTAAACCCATACCATTCAGAAGCTAATTAGGACTCCTAATATATATATATATATATATATATATATATATATATATATATATATATATATATATATATATATATATATATATATTTTAGGAGTCCTAATTAGGTTCTGAATGGTATGGGTTTACTAATTCTATTCCTTATAGGACTAAGGACTTGTTTTAGGGATAAGGGTCCATGGTCCATGGTGGACCATATTAATTAATTGAAAAGAATCCTAACCATAATCTGAATAGTAAAGGTATACTTTCTTTATTCCTAATAGATGTGTTGGCCTGGGATTCCTAATTAGGATCTGATTAGTAAAATGTTGACTTTCTTTATTTCTAATAGGCTTATGACTCTAGTTTAGGCAAGGGTTCACGATCCGTGGTGGACCATATTAATTAATTAAAGGGATTTCTAATCAAATTAAATCCTTTTTAATTATTATTAATGAAATTAATTAAATAATTAATTCGGGATTAAAGGCAGTAACACGGGGTGTTACATGTAATTAGTTCATTTTATGGAGGTCTCACTGACGAGAGTAAGATGTTGTTGAACTCATCTTCTAGATGAGCTTTTGTGTCATCATCACCCGCAGATGCTGAAGCACTAATTGAAAGAATTTCTTCTAATACCTCCTTTTGGTATAATAGAAGGGATGCCAAAGCAGGGATGTACAAAGTATCTGGAAATGTAGCCCACGATGCGAAAGTAGAAACCATGAGCCACGAAATTAAGAAGCTACAAATATGGCTCTTTCCTTGTATTGCAATATATGTGCAAGGGCAGAGACAACATGTACTTCACTGAGCGAATCAGGAAATATGGATGAAATAGCTTATGTACAAGGGCAGAGACAACATTCATATGTCAACAATTCTGGAGTAGGAAATTACGGTTGGAAACCCACGCAACGATGGAACCAAGGAGGCCAGACACAAGGGAGACCTCAAAACACACAAGGCAGTAGACCTGCTTACGACCAGGATAGAGATAGATGCTCAATCACCTATAGCCCACAGTTTGGAGGAAGCAACAACGCTCTCTATCGATCGCCACAAGTTTCCCAAAGCGAGCTGCGACATTATCAACCTAACATCAGAGAAGTAGATGAAAGACTCTCCCGAGCAATTCTTGAGTTGAAAAATGATAGAGTTCTATTGAAACAGGAAATCACACAAGAGTTTAGACAAGATTTGTCTGCTATGAGACAAGAAACTCAAACCTCAATAAAAAGCATGGAAATACAAATAGCACAGTTAGTCAAGTTGGTGTCTGAAAGACCTTGTGGTTCATTGCTAAGCACAACGGAGAACAATCCGAAGGAAAGAGTCAATGCAATATCGGTTTATCCGGAACCTGTAAATGAAGATACCAACAAAAGACATGAAGGAAAATATGTCAAAGGTAAAGAGGTTTTGAAAGATACGGACAGGGAGGAATCAAAGGCAAATACCAAAATGGTAACGTCTCGTTACTGCACTCAAATTCCATTTCCGCAAAGATTGGTGAACATGGCCGAGCTGGAACAACGAGGTAAATTTAATGCTTTACTTAGAAAACTTCATGTTAATATGCCTATTCTGTACACACTAAGAGAACTACCTAGATTGACTTATCACTTTAAAGAGCTAGTAAAAAATAAGAAGGAGATTCACAATGAATCTCATACCCACCTTAGTGTGGAATGCTCATCGGCTCTTGAAAGGGGATGCCCCAAAAAGAAGGGTGACCCTGGTGCATTCATCGTACCATTTGCGGTGAAAGATCTTTTCTTTGAGAATGCACTCGCAGATCTAGGTGCTTTTATAAATGTTATGCCTTCGTGTGTTTTGACAAAATGATTATGCCTGCTCTAACTCCAACCCACATGACTGTCCAACATGCCAATGGATCCACTAGGTATCCGAGAGGCATCGCGGAAGACGTGTTGGTTAGGATTAAAGATTTTGTGATTCCTGTAGATTTTGTAGTGCTAGATGTAAGCCAACAGAGCGAAAATGTGTCGTTAATCTTTGGAAGGTCATTTTTTGCTACATGCCGAGCAATAATTGACGTAGGCACGAGTAAGCTTACCTTGCGCATTGATGATGAGGAAGCCAAATTTGGTATGACTATCAAGGAAGACAATCAAAAGAAGGCGGTAAAACCGAAGAAAAAGTCAAAGGCCAAAGCGAGTTGCTCAGGAAAAACTGGAAATTATGTCTGGAGAAAGAAATGGGTCTGTATGCAATCAACCGGTTCTGAAAACGATTGAAGAAAGAATAATGGGTACTTCAGGCTAAGACGTTAAAATCAGCACTACTTGGGAGGGCCTGTTGCACCGCGGTGCACGATATAATTTGCCTTCCATGCCATTCCATGTATACGTACCCTTCATAATAGCTAGCCTAGCTACTCTCCACCTGCAGGGCCTGTTGGAAAAAATGCTTTTTTTTTTTTTGTGTAATATTTTAAAATACAACAAAAAATGTAGAAGCATAAGGGAACAAAAATTGGATCATTTACCTCTTCAGGCGTGTGTTGTCACTTTCCTATAAGCTTTAAATCTCCCTCTGAAAAAACAACATAACAAGGTTCAAGATTTAATCTTATGGGATACAAGAAGATGAAAAAAATTCTTAAGTTCTTTGTTTAAGAATTTCCTGTAGAATTGTAAGACTGTGAAATATCTCAGTGTCATGCAGTTGATTGCCTGTCATGCCTGTCTTTCAGATTTCTCTTCAAAATATTTATATGAAATATTTTGACTGTTAGGAGATGTTACGTGAAAATTACGACAATTTAAAAACTCCAACTTCCACAAGATATATATTAAATAAATAATATATTTATCATGGGAAATTATAATTACATAAATCATGTACAACATGAATATTTACGTAATATAAATGTACCTCCCTACATTATGTATGACATGCAAAACATTTGCATAGATAACATAATCACGTCATTACTTCATGCGAAGAGTTTCTCCCCCCCCCCCCCCCCCCCCCCCCGAAGAGTATGACTTCTACCGCAATACTCACATGCAACCGAGGTGTTAATACCGAGTCATCTGAATAGAAATAAACCATTCGACTGGTTAAGCAAAGTAGCAATCCGAGATGTTGATTCATCCTTTTAGGACCTATGATTCATAATCAACGTCTCGAAAATTAACTTTTCATAAATTAACTTCTCGGTTCCGAAACTGAGTACTTATCGGTTCCAACCTTTCGCAAATTCATATTTTCCAATTAACTTTCTACCAAACTAAAATAATATTTATAACTCCACAACTCCAAATATTAGTTAAGCCTTCATGGTAGTCCATCTGAAACATTAATCTCCATTACTATATAAATTTCCAATTAACATTCCTCCTCCATTTATATAGTAAAGATTAATACTGTACCAAGATAAATCCAAAACTCATGCATAATGAAAGTGTCTTACATATTGAACTTTCACATAGAGTTATATGCGTTACATTAATTAATTCAGATTGAAGTGATGGATGAATAACCTTAAATCACACAGTCTCTTTGAAGAAATGTAGATATAACACACACAAGTTTTACAGTCATTACAACTCAATGTAACTTGACACTATTATGGCTTTGTGTTTGTATCCATTAATGAGCACGTACCAAGTAATTAAAGCCCAAACTTGTTTGAAGCGACCACACTTCATGCTTACAGAGACTAATCTTTTATATTATGCACTACATCTTGCATTTTTTCAAAAGATCAATTAAGAGAAAAAATGCATCCCTACTTCAATGGAGAACCAAGCATTACTTTTTCTTGGGATACAATTTTTAGTTTAAACTTTTGATGCTTGTAATCACAAAATGAAGTACTCATCTACATTGAACTCAAGGTCTAACGTAATAACTTAGATGTCACTACTACAGAAAAGATATACTACGTCACTTAATGGAATGCGATTTTTTAAATAACTGTCTTCCAATATATGTTCTTATACTACGACATATAATAGACGGCAATTTTTTAAATAATCGCCTTCTATTATATACCACGTCACTTAATAGACGGCGGTTGTTAAACAACTGCCTTCTATTATATACTACGTCACTTAATAGACGGCGATTGTTAAACAACCGCCTTCTATTATATACTACGTCACTTAATAGACCGCGGTTGTTAAACAACCGCCTTCTATTATATACTACGTCAGTTAATAGACGGCGGTTGTTTAACAACCGCATTCTATTATATACTATGTCACTTAATAGACGGTGGTTGTTAAATAACCACCTTCTATTATATACTTACGTCACTTAATAGACGGCGGTTTTTAAACAATCGCCGTATATACATTTTAGTTTGTTTTTTTCAATTTTTTTTAATTATTTAGAGTATACGAAGGTTATACATATAACCACAATATATATCTTATTGTTTTTTTATTAATTTTTATTTTTATAGTATATAGTTTAATAGTTGAATTTAGGGTTATTCTTCAATCTTCAATTCCCGCTTCAAGCTTCTCCAACAACGCGACCAAGCTCTTCAACGTCGGCCACGACCAAGCTCTTCAATCCCTACTTCCCGTAGCTTCATGCTTTAATTCCCACTTCACAGCCACTCACAGCCGCATCTTTACCACAAAGCTTGTCGCCGTCCGTTGTCTCCGCCTTCAGCATAGCTCGTGTCAGCCCATCCTCCCTTGTCGCTGACCCCGTTGAAATCGTCTTCAGCCCAACGGTGGCCACAGCACTGCTCGCCTTCAGCTCAACGACGGTCACGGCAGTGCTCAACCCTTGTCGTCGTCTCCATTGCTCCAGCACAGACAGCGACGGTCACACAACAGAAACAGCAACACGTATGTACTTCTTTCTTCTGGTATGCCGCTATCTACCCTAAATATAAATATTCTCTTCTCTCTATTTTTGTGTTTTCTTTTTGAGTCTCTGATTTCTGAATGTGGATTACATTATTAGGTTTTATGTGTAGTTCAATATATCTGTACGTTTTTTGGCAATAAAGTTTTGAATAGATTGTGTATTTGTATGAGTTTATGGGTTCCTTTTTCATCTATTATTGTATTTTGTATCTCAATATGTATGCATTTAGGTACTTTTCCTTAAACCTTTAATGTTGAAGTGATTTGGTACTGACTACTGAGAAACTGAAAACATTGGCTTGGCAAAGCATAAATCGGAGACAATTCGCCGCTCGGAAGAGACATCGGCAGAAGTGTCAGAAGTAGTCATAGAAAACCTAAGCTGCTGATATTAGATTAAGACAAATATTCTTGATTACCAATGTGTACATATAATTGTTAGTGTAAATTTCTATAATATAGTGTTTTATATTTAGTAGAGTATCTCCCCAAAATATATAAAGACTTAACACGGTGATGAGTTACGTTTGTTAGTTCTAGTGTTGAATCATAATAATTCATATCCTCTCGTTGAATTGTAGGCACCTTCTTTGGGTGGGACAACTAGCATGGAGATTTAAGGTTGCTCCATATCCAAAGTCAAAGATCAAACGTTGACCTTTGGCTAAGTTGATAAGTCCCTTCCACTCAACCACACTCACAGATTATTAATAAACAATATTTAATGGTTCTTCAATGTAACAACTTATATTTATTAATTAGAGTTTTTTTTTTTTTCAGCTTGGTTATCCTCATTATTGTATCTCTCTAAAATTTGGTCCCAAACTATTAACTTTATCACATGGGTCCATTTGGAAAGCAGGAAAATGACTTCTGGAAAATGAGTCATTTTCCAGAAAACATTTTTCTTTTCCGTGTTTGGTTGCATTATGGAAAATTGTTTTCTTGTGTTTGATTCATTTTCTAGAAAATGAGTAGAATTGTATAATTAAACATTTTAATTATTTTATTTAGAATATTACAACATGTATAATAATATATAATAATAGTATAATAACAATTTTATAAAAAAATAAAAAAATAACTAATAAGATATCAAAATAACTCACTAAAGTATTGAAATTCAAAACAACAACAACAAAAACAACAACAACAACAATAATAATAATAATAATAATAATAATAAAATAATAATAATAATAATAATAATAATAATAATAATAATAATAATAATAATAATAATAATAATAATAATAACTAGTGGTGTTGTGGTGGTGGTTGTGGTGGTATGGTGGTGGCGGAAGTGGACGGTCGTGGTGGTGTGGTGGCGGTGATTGTGGTGGTGGCGGCTGGGGTCGCGGTGGTGGTATGGTCGTGGCGGTGGTGTGATGGCGGTGATTGCGGTGGTATGGTGGTGGTGGTGGCAGGGGTGTCGATGGTGGTGGTAGTGAGGTGGTGGTGGTATGATGTTGATGGTGTTAGTGGTGGTGGTGTGATGTTGGTGTAAAAGTTAGAAAATGACTTTCCAAAAAAGAGGAGAAGTCATTTTCCTCCAAAACAAGTATATTTTCTAAAGTCAACGGAAAATAATTTCCGTTGACTTGATTTTCCAGGCATATCCAAACACTGAAAATCCGAAAAATGATTTCCTTCCTGGTTTCAAAACACACCCTTAGTGTATTAATATCAAACTTTTATTACATTTGGTCCTTATCAATATTTTTAGCCCCCTATCTAATTTTTAACAACACTAATTTTGATACCACTATATTCAATTGTGTGGCTTAAATGCTTATCAAATTCAAATAGTAGAAAATACACTTTCAAATGATTAACATAACTGTCATATATATGAGAGATTCCAACCAAGGTTGACTAGAAAATTGATCAAAAGGATTAAATGTGACAAAAATTTGAGAGTCATAAACCAAATATAAAAAGGAAAAGAAAAAGTCAATGGCTAAATATGATAAAAGTATAATAATTAAGGGA